CCCCCGGCAGAGGAACGCTGCTCCTCACATGGCCATGTGAAGCAGTTATGTGGCCATGGAGTGTTCAGGAGGAGGGAGCTCACAGAAGGACATACACACCATGGTACTCACACCCTAACCCCTGTGTCAGGACAGCGGTCAACTTTGGTGGGCCATGATTTGGAGGGGACTTTAGGGGGCTTTGGGAGCACCCAGTTAAAAAGGCCATCAAGCTACACACTTGGAATCCAAGGTCCCTTTCTGCTCAGGTCTCATATTTCAAGATGCTTCCTGTTCAGAGAGCTGTGGTGGAGGAAAAGGCCAGGCCTGCCTCAGGAAGAAGGTGGCTCCCTGCTTCTGCATTGCTGTGAGCAGCCAGGTTAGTGCCACGACTCTTCCTCATCTCCCTGGAAGGCCCTGAAGGAGACACCACAGACACATGACGGCCACCTGTGCTGTCACAGGCTGTTAGGAAGGCCCAGGGGACAGAGCTGAGCTCAGAGGTGGCGCCTCACTCAGTATAGAGTTCCAGAAGACTTCTTGGAGGAGGGGATGCTGGGACAGACACCTGCAGAAGAAGTGCACATAAAAACCAAAGCCAGCTAGCCATGTGACTCACACCTGTAATCCAGACACTGGGCAGGCTGAGGCAGGCTCGTCACAAGTCCCATGCCAGCCTGGGCCACGGAAAGATCCTGTCTCAAAAAAATTATCGAAACAAAACAAGACAGTCATAGCTCACACTGTGCACACTGTAGCCTGCTGGCCACACCTCCGTGTCTCCCGCTGGCCTCCCTGCTGCCATGTGGCAGCCAACCTGGTACTGCTCTTCCTTCCCAAGTACCCATCACTCGCCCACTTCCTCTTTGGGCCAAGCTGGTCCCGCTCCCATTTGCGATATCTGACTACCATACTCAGTACCCCCAACACCACTTATCTTCTTATTTTATTTCTGTCCCTGGCTGCTGACTGGTGTGTGTGTGTGTGTGGTGTGGTGTGTGTGTGTATTCCCTTCAGAGCTATGTATTAAGGACACATTAAATGGGAACATGCTGGCTGTGTGTGGTTAAATCAATCACACTATGAAGATTAATTTTATCATCCTCTGTCATTTGTAATTCATGGCTGCTGAAATGCCAAAGGGTGTGCTAGCCCCTGGGAGCATGGTTGCTCTTCTGTTCATAGGGACACCCCACATGAGGTAAACAGTAGGCACCACACAAAGTGCCTGCTGTAGAAAGACTGATTGAATGAATGAATGTTGTCTCTACACCATTCTCCTGAAACTGCCTGCTCTGGAGTCCTGGGGGTCCCAAGCCATGGGGGGTGGTTGGAGTTGGTGACCCTTTCCCAAATAGGCCCCAGTTCCTTTTCTCAGGCCTGGCTTTCTCCAAGTTAGGCCTGTGGCTGGATTAGAGATCAGTAGGGTCCAGTTGCTTTAAGGCAGCTTCCTTCCCTCTGGGCCATTTTAGAGGGTGGGCAAGTGAGGCAAGGTGGACCCTGTGCCATTGAGGTGGCTGTTAGGGACCTGAAGAGAACTCGATGGGGCTGCCAGAGCCCCACCCACCCCAGTTGGGGAGAGGAGCTGGCCTCTGTGGCCCCTATGCATTTCATCCCGCCCCTGGGCACAGACCCCAGCCCCTGGCTCTCCCCACAGAAGGAAGGCTTAGTTCGGGCCCTCCGGGAAAACCACAATTTGCTCTTGACATGCCATAGTGACGGGTTTCTGGCGGCTGTGCCCCCTTTGTGTCCGCGAGCTGCTGTAGATATATAAGGGCTGTCCCTGGGCTCAGGTGTGGAGCAGCTGACAGGAGGTGGGGACCCACCTGCAGAGCAGGAGGAACAGGCTGGTAAGGTGGCCCCATGTAGCCCTAGGTGGTCCCAGGTGGCTCCAGGTGGCCTGGCTCCATCCTAACCCTCTCCACAGACCTAGTGACTCTTACTGTCTCATCTGAATAATGGGCACAGAATGAATCACTTTCAGTGGGAAGAGGAACCTGGGAGCATCTGGAAGACAAGAGGAGGGAATCCCCCATCTTACAGATCTGTAGTCCTTGCTACATAAGGCCATGGCAGGGCTGGCTGAGCTAGGGCCCAAATCACCCATGACAGAGTTCCAGGCTAGCCTCTTTCTCTAAATGATGGGATTTGACTGCCCTCCTTCCATCCTGGTATTTTTTCCTATGAGAGACCCTAGGGTGGCAAGGCCACTGAGGGCCACATCTTAGTAAACAAGATTTACAGTCAAGTTTGTTGCTGGGTCATGTGGTACCTATTGGGCACCTTTGTGCCAAGGAGAAGGTCTGGGTTGACTCAGTCTGTACTAGAACCTGTAACTTGGTGAGTGAAGAGCTACTGGATCCTACCCTCACCCATGACAGGTGCCCTTCCAGCCCATGTGAGGCCCAAGACACAGTCTCCTCCTTCCTGTAGCTTACGGAGTTGGCCAGCAGGGATATGGACACATTTGAGTAAATGCGACTTGTGAGAAGTACCTCAAAATAAATATCCCAGGGATTGGTAGGATTCTCCAGACAGGGCAAGGAGAGGAGAAGACAGCAAATCTGACAGACTAGGAGTCAGCCATGAAGTGACACAGAGACCTCCTAGCAACTGGAATAACATGTGCAAAGGCCCTGGGGTGGGCCAGGATTTAGAATATTTAAAACCAAGGTGGCGAAAGAGATTTATGAGTAATAGTGAGGAGCGCTGGGCCTCATCCCTTGGGTAGTGGGAGCCACTGAGGGGCATCTAGTGTGAGGGAATAGATGGAGATACACCTAAAGGGAAATCAGCTCTGTGGATTTATAGTTATAACCAGCTATTTATGCTCTGCCTTCACCCTGTTTTCCATGTCAGTGACAACTGGAATAGAGCTGGAGAGGAGGGATATATTAGACTGAGTGCTGTGTGTCTCTGACCAGCTAGTCCTGAAATGGCGTCGGCAGCCCACAAGGAAGCAACCTGGAGCCACAGCTCCCTCCCTGCTACCAAGGAGGGTCTCACTGAAGCATTTACCCCAGACCCTGCCAGGCTTACAGAGCCACATGACAACCATTAAGCCACATGGATTCAGAGTGGAATGTTGGTCCTACTGGTGGTTAGCTCTTGGTTGAGTTCCCTCCAGCTTCTGGGCCTCAATTTTCCCACCTGCAAAAAGGGAGCCCATGCAGGCGTTGGAAGCTGTGCTGGGCAATGCGATGCTTCCCCTAGGTGGTGGCTGGATAGGGCAGGGATAAAGCCACACCTGGCTGTCCAGGAAGGAAAGAGGGCTCCAGAGCAGCAGTGACAGTGATGGAGAGCAGGAGGGGACAGGCTGGGTCCAGTGCAGACCTGGAAAAGTCTCCCCCCTCCCCCACAGGTGTGCAGCTGACGATGCTGGGTGTGTACACCCTGCTTCTGCTCTGGGGCCTGGCCACTCCGAGCCTGGGGCTGCTTGAGACAGTGGGCACACTTGCTCGGATTGACAAGGATGAACTGGGCAAAGGTGAGCCAGGGGCAGGTGGGCAGGCGGGGAGGGATCCGACCCTGACTGCTGGCATCACAGACAGCTCTTGGAGCTGAGGCTCGCAGGGCTCAGCTGACATATTCTGCTATATTCTGTGAGCACCCTGGAGGAGCCGGCAGCACACTCTGGCTTGGGCTTGCTCTCCAGCTCCTCCAGTGGCCATGATGCCTCTTGCTCGAGCAGAGAACTGGGCTGTGCGGAGCTGCCTGGGGTTGGGGGCAGGCATGGGGAAGGGACTGGCTGTGTCGTATCCCCACCCCTTGTATTTGGGGTGATCATCTCAGGGACAGTGCAGGGCTATCACAGTGGGGCCCCTTTACCCTGCCCACAGTCACAGAGTCAGGCTGTGGACCTCAAGATGGGGTTGCTCCTGCACTGCCTCAAATCCCTCGATCCACTCTGCATTCCGGCTGCAGGATAGCACTGGGATTTAGAGCCTGAGTTTGACTCAGGGCCTCACATTGGGTTTGCTCTGACACTAGGCAGTGTCTGCCCCTTTCTGGTTTTTTGTTTGTCTGTCTTTAGATGCAGGGATTGTCAGCGGGGCGTGATCATTATTTCCCGACACTCCCTGGGTACCATAAGTGGGGCCAGTGGGGGGAGTTCCCACCCCTTGAATGTGACATGTCAATCCTAGTGGAAACAGCTCCTGAAGCTCAGAGGAAAGGGACAGAGGCTTTGGTCCTGGTCCTCAGGGTGGAGGAAGAGTTTACTGAATCTTCTCCTCCCCACCTTCTCTGTAGCCATCCAGAACTCACTGGTTGGGGGCCCTATTCTACAAAATGTGCTGGGAACAGTGACATCGGTGAACCAGGGCCTCCTGGGCGCAGGAGGGCTGCTTGGAGGCGGCGGCCTGCTGAGCTACGGGGGCATCTTCAGTCTTGTGGAGGAACTCTCTGGGTGAGGCCTCGGGGCTCTGAGGGGCTCTGCAGGAAGGCTTGTCCCCACCTGCCACTGGGAGGAGGGGCTGTGATGACTGATAGTCAGTGAGGGTGGTGCAGGAAGGTGGGGGAGAAGATAACTGTGAGCCTGGCAGGGCACGGACAGCCTCACGCCACCGTCACTCAGGTGTGCGCGGAGACAATTGCAGTTGCTTGCTGTGTGACCCTGGGGAGGTTGCTTGGTTTCTCTGGGCTAAGCCAGGTGTCTGCCTGGCTCCTACCTTCATCCCTTTTGGGTGTCTGTTCAGAAGACTCTGGCCCTGCCGAGCTCCTCCTCAGGCCCTCCACACTTTAGGGTCTCTAGGGGACGCTCACTCTGTACACACCACACATTTTACTGGTTTATTGTCACCACAGTAGATTATAAAACCAAGGAGGGGAAGAATCCTCATCTGAGCTGTTCCCTGGAATGCCCTCATTGTATAAACAGGGCTTTGTGATAAGTTTAGAATGAAAGAAATGAGCAAGTGGCTAATACTTTGAGCAGGACAGTCACCAGCAGGGGTTTCTAGGTGACCCTAGGCGCTGCTGGTAACTTGGTCTCCCAAATGCAGAGAGATGAGACACATGTCAACTCCCCCCGCAGGTGAGTGGGTGGAAGCCAACAGGGAAGGTCCTCGCTGTGCTCACTCAGTGGTGGAGGGGACCATGTTTGTGTATGACTGCAGCCCACACGCTTGGCCATGGCCGGAGTGAATCAGGGCATCTACTCAGCCGAGGAGCATAGGCTTGTGGTGACAGAGGAGAGGGGGGCCTGGCCCCCACATAGCACCCACATCTACGAGGGTGCTGGTGACAGCTGAGAGTGCTCAGCTTCCTTGAGTCACTCTGAGGTAGACCTTGTCAGGGTCCGGGTTTTACACATGTGGACGTCGAGACACACCAGCAGTGTGGTGTTTTCCTAGTCACAGTTAGGTAGCCACAGAGCAGGGGTGTGAAGTGTCCTGGTTGGATACCACGATATCAGGACAGCGTTAATATGTATGCAGCAGGCCAAAGAGAACCATGTATTCAGTGAGCACTCAATAAACGCTCTCACTATTATTAGATTCCACATCTCTCCATACCTCCCTGGCTGAATGAGCCTCGTATCGTCCTTGCTTCAAGGAGCTGTAGAATGTGCCAAAGCCTGATATGACAGGGCTGTAAGCTACAGGCTGAGAACCAGGAAGGAGGACTTCCTGGAGGAGGGGATGTCTGTCTGAAATCAGGAAAGCCAGGAGGACTCAGCCAGCTGGAAGAGGGTGCCAAGTTAAAGGGTGTCAGGAATGGGAACCCCAGACAGGAACAGTGAGAATGAGCTGGAAGGATAACAAGAAATCCCTTATAGGGTGTTCTCTGGGTGGGGCCCAACGTCACAGGTAGAGACCTAATTAGGGCTGAGGAGGCTGCCAGATAGGTCAGGGCCTCCAACTGTGATGCTGGGGTGACATGGCTCAGCCCGGACCATACCGGGAATCTGCTGGTCAGAGTCTGACCAGCGCCCGGCGTATGTAGGAGTGAGCAACCTACTCCCCCCCTTCTCCAGGCTGAGGATAGAGGAACTTACTCTGCCCAAAGTGTCAATCAAGCTGCTGGCAGGGTTTGGGGTGCAGCTGACCCTGCACACCAAGATTAGCCTGCACGGCTCCGGGTGAGTGTGCTTCTGGGAGCCCCCACCCACCGCCTCCCCCCATTTTCCCTACCCTGCTTCCTTCCCAAGGGACTCCCATTCTGCTTCTCTTGGGCCCCACTCTATTCCATTCCCTCAGAGAACCCCACCTCACTGATGATCCCCAGACTTCCATGGCGTTTCTCAGGCCCTCCTCCACTGCCTGAGGTGGGGAAGAGGGGGGTGCAGATGCTTGGGGACCAGGCCACCTGCCATCCAGGCCCAAGGATGGAGTGGGCATGGCCTGGGCGTGGTGAGATGGGGAAGGTCTGGGAGGCAGGCCGTACTCATTTTGGGGGTCTTGCAGTCCCCTGGTGGGCCTCCTGCAGCTGGCAGCCGAAGTGAATGTGTCCTCGAAGGTGGCCCTGGGCATAAGCCCACGGGGGACCCCCATCCTGGTCCTTAAGCGCTGCAACACACTCCTGGGCCACATCAGCCTGACGTCAGGGTGAGTCTCTGGCTTGGGACCGGCTTGTACACATCCAGCATGGGGTGCCGATCTCCCAGCTCTGCCCGGGAATGTCATGCTGCCCTGCAGCCCCAGGCATGAGAACCAACCCGAAGCTCACAACACACCTCCTCCAGAGTGATGTCCTTCTCCTGTCGCTAGGGTCCTGCTCAGGGCTCCCTATCTCCCAGAATCTCTGTCCCTGCTCTCACTGTGTAAGAGCCTCAGCGTTGCCTCTGGCTTGTGTGATTCTGGGACCATTGCTCCATGTCAGGGCCTCTGTGTCTCCTTCTGTGTGCGTCGGCACATACCTTCACATCCACCTGCCCATACTTGTGACCAGCCTCACTCTAGGGAGAGAGCAGGGCCCCTGCAGGGCAGAGGGTCTTCCCAAGGTCTCAGACACGGATGGGGCGGGCATAGAAGCTGGTCTCTGACCGCTGCGCTGTCCTCCCCTGGTCCACTGCTCCTCTGTCTCCCTGGCACTGTCTTTATCCTAGGCCAAGCCCCAGCTCCCCGACCTTGCTGGCTTGGTGTTAGCTCCAGTAAAGGATGGAGGTCCTCTGTAAAGGCTTTAATAGGGATGGGGACTTTGGGCTTCTTAAATTCCAGTGTCTGTTCTGATGGTCTTTGGGTTAGTAAGCCCAGGGTACTGCTGCTGTCTGGGAATGTGGCTTTGTGCTGACGTGACCCTGTATCCCCATGGTCTCCAGACAGGTCTGAGCCCAACCAATATCTCTTATCCTCAGGCTATCAACCCATTCATTCATTCATTCTTCATTGAGCCTCATGCTAAGCCAGACATTGCTGCACATGCAAATGACCCTTGACTACAACTCTTGGGTGGGACAGCGGGGGATGGGGGTGGGGGTGGTCGGATACTTCCGGAGCATGGGCTGCATAGTAGGCATGTGTGCTCCCTCTCCAATCTGCCAGTGGCAAAGGATAGGACGAGGCTGTCTAGCCAGGGAAGCTAAAGCCATGGGTGGATCATGGGAAGGCGGAGCCAGGGCTTAAATATGGGTCCCCAGAGCCCCTAGAACCTCACCAAAGGAAGAGACAGGAGAAAGGCAGAGCCCCTGGTCCACCTGGCCTGCTGTCCACCTTCACGTCTCCTCCACCTAGGCTGTTGCCCACACCGATCTTTGGGCTCGTAGAACAGACACTGTGCAAAGTGCTGCCCGGACTGGTGAGTGTGCGCTTCTCCCCCCTGCCTCCCATCCCGGGCTGCCAAGGGCAGTTAGCTGGCATCCCTAAGATATGTGAGGAGAACTGTGCGGGTGGAAGTGGATGGATAGCCTACCCTGGACTGAAGGAAGCAGTGAGGCCATGGGAGGGGAGAGGACATCTGAGGTGGACCCAAGGAGGTTCATCCCGGGCTCTGGGGCTGTGTGTGGGCACCTGGCGCTGTGTGCTGGAAGCGCTTTCGGCGGAGTCCTTGGCTGTTACTCTGGGTGGGGTTGTGCTGTGGCTTCTCTGTCTGGTCCTCCTCCTGGGCTGCCCAGTGCTACAGGTCACACCAGCTGCCTGCAGCCATTCTCCCCCGAGTGCCGAGCTGGAACTTGGGCCACCAGTCTTGTCTCAGAGCCCTGTCTTACGTGTCTGCCGATAACTGTGACCTTGGCAGGCAGCCCTTGATCTCCGATCCCAACTGTAGACTGAGGTGCTGGGCTGGAGTCTCACTTGGGTGGGCCAAGTGCCTGCTTGATGCATTCACAACAGGGTTCAGTAAGTGCAGGGCAGAGTGTGATGGGCTTTTTGGATGACAGGGAAGATGAGGTACCTTGGGACTTCTGACCACAGGTCTTCTGGCTCCGCACTGGGGTGGCAGGACGGACCTGCGACTGTAGAGGGAAGAGCAGCTATTGTGACCTTGCTTTAGAGATTCCCTGTAATCTCTACCGCACACCCCCCAACAACCTTTAGCACTTCCTAATGGGGGTTCATGTAACAAAGATGTGAAATTGGGTACCCATATGCGCTGCGCCCTCCACCCCCTGCCTGTCTCCACACTCTGCTTTGCTTTGAGCCTCAGTACCACAGAACCAGCCGTTTTGGAGAGAGGCAGCTGTCTCCTGCCCCAAGCAGGGTGCACCCTTATCTCTCCAGTGACCTCCGTCTCCTCCTGTACAGCTGTGCCCTGTGGTAGACAGCGTGCTAAGTGTGGTGAACGAACTCTTGGGGGCTACGCTGAGTAAGTTGGGGCCCTGCCCCTCCTCTGTGACCCTTCTTTCACCATTGAGCAGGTGGCCATGGAGGGAAGTGGGGCTAGAGGGGACCCTTCCTCCTCAGACTGTCCACTCCACTTTGGGGCAATCTCTGGAAGCCCTAGGGTGGAGACCTAGGAAGGGGTACTAAGGAGGATGTCTAGGGAGGAGTCCAACTGCCACAGGGTGCAGAGCCTCAGAGCAGCCACATCTGAGATCTCCACCTGCTGGCTGCTGCAGATAGACAGACACTCACTGAGCACCCAGGGTCTGCAGATAGACAGACACTCACTGAGCACCCAGGGTCTGCAGACAGACAGACACTCACTGAGCACCCAGGGTCTGCAGATAGACAGACAGACACTCACTGAGCACCCAGGGTCTGAAGATAGACACTGAGAACTTGGGGCTGAAACAGGAGGCAAAGGTTCTCTGTGGAGATGGAAGCCGCAGGCCCAGAGGCTTCAGCAAGGCAGCCATGGCCATGCAGCCTAGTGACTCCATCTCTCTGCTTTGTGGAGACCTCTGTACTTGGGGAAGTATGAGAAGGTACAGGGCAGGATGGTGCTCTGGCCACACCTCCATCAGGCAGGCATGGGTCAGCCACAGCAGGCCTAAAAACAGGAACACAGGCTTTGTCACTGTGTGGCCTCGGGCTGGGGACCTCCACCAGCTAGGTGAGATGGGGTGACAGCAGCACCCCAATGAGTTCTGGGTTAAAGGTAAGTATGCAGCAGGTGCTCAGTAAATGACAGTTCCCGGCAGCTGGGTTGAGGTCGTCCTGCCCGCCCTCTCTCCTGCAGGCCTGGTGCCCCTTGGGCCTCTGGGGTCCGTGGAGTTCACTCTGGCTACACTGCCCCTCATCTCCAACCAGTACATCGAACTGGACGTGAACGTGAGTGTCTCAAGACCAAGTCAGCAGGGTCAATGAGGGAGCCACAGAGGTGGATGGGGATCCTGGGCGAGGCCAGGAGGCTGAGCAGTCACGGACCCTCCTGTCTCTGTTGTCTTCTGCCCTGTAGCCCATCGTGAAGAGCGTAACTGGGGATGTCATCGATTTCCCCAAGCCACGCCTCCCAGTCAAGGTGCCCCCCAAGGAGGACCACACCTCCCAAGTGACTGTCCCACTCTACCTCTTCAGCACCGTGTTTGGGCTCCTGCAGACCAACGGTGCCCTCGACCTAGACATAACCCCCGAGGTGGTGAGTGGGATACGGGAATGCTGGGTAGGGACAGCTGCCCCCGGCATTGGCAGAGCTGGCGCTGAGTTTCCCCGTCATCACTCACAGCCTCGCTTAGCCTGTTCTCTGTAAGTGAGGGTTGGGTGTGTTTAGAGCACACACGCTGTTGTCCACCCTGTCCTAGAGGAGGATGTCAACAATCCTCCATACCTTCACTTTTGAAGCCTTCTAAAGTCAGCCCTCCAGAAAGCCACCCCCAACAGCCAGAACTGGAATAGAGTGATGCCAGCTTTCCCCATGTCCTTGCACCAATGAACCTTTCTTGAGTGTAAGCTATTTTACACTAATGTAGGAATGGCTAACGCCTTGTCTACTTTCTTAAGAGTAGATTTGAGTTGGAGAAAAAAAAAAAGCTAGGGTTAGACTTTGCCTAAGGTCACTTTCACTTTTGTTCTGGAGCTTCTGGGACTTCCTTGCTTCTGTTCCAGTGGTTTAGAAGGCCTGGCCTCCAGAAGCCCCACAAGAGGCATTTTCTTGGTCTCAGCTTACCTGGAAGAGTGAGCTCTGAGCTATGGGGAGGCCTCACATACAGCTTAGGCTTAAGGCAAGAGGGTTGGCCTGTCACCTCATGCAGGGTGGGAAGGGGTCTCTAGGAGTCTTCAGCTGAGCATAAGGCAGAGTCTAAAGGAGGGAAATGTGTCTGTTATGGAATATTTGTTTACATTGTAAAGATGTATTTTTGCCAAGGTGCCTTCTGATTGGTTTAATAAAGAGCTGAATGGTTAATAGCTAGGCAGGAGGTATAGGTGAGACTTCCTGAGAGAGAGAGAGAGAGAGAGAGAGAGAGAGAGAGAGAGAGAGAGAGAGAGAGGAATCAAGGAGACACCAGGAGATGCAAGACAAGTTGGAGGTACAGAATGAAAGAAAGGTAAAAAGTCACATGGTAGAATGTAGATTAAAAATATGGGTTAATTTAAGATACATGAGCTAGTTAGAAACAAGCCTAAGCTATAGGCTGAGCTTTCATAATCAATTAATGAGTCTCCATGTCATTATTTGGGGCCTGGCAGAACAGAGAAAGACTCTGTATGTATGGTGCCACACATTGGGTATCATATGTAGCAAGTCTTTTTCTGTACCACCAGCTCCCAAATAACAACATGGAGACTTATAATTAATTATGAATCTCGGCCTTATCTTAGGCTTGTCCCACTAGCTCTTATAACTTACATTAACTCATTTACTTTAATCTACATTCTGTCATGTGACTTGTTACCTCATCTCTCTGTACTGCTCATGCTGCTTTCTCCGCATCTGGTTAGCGACCCCAGCTTTCTTCCTCTCTGAATCCTCTTTGTCCCCAGAAGTCCTGCCTAACTTTTTCCTATCTAGCTATTGGCCATTTGGCTCTTTATTTAACCATTCACAGTGACACATCTTCACACAATGTAAAGGAATATTCTAAAACGTGTGTCATCGGATGACCTATGACTGGGGCTGTGAGCTCTGTGATGTGATGTCATCCCAGAACACACCTTACGCTGTCACCATCATGGTGTGTTGACTGAGCCCGAGAGTGCTCCTGGAGCCCTGGGGTCAGAGTGTGGACAGATCTGTTCTTACAGGTGGTTTATGTGGGGTCACTATTGCTTAGCAACCTGACAGGACCATGGTGACCACTACTACCTAGCTACCCCAAGGGCCCAGTGTGACCACACTTCCTAACATTTCAGCTAGAGCTGGAAATCTTATCTGAACCCCCTGACGTATAAAGACTGGAAATGGTCATATTCATGAGTGATCACTGGGGTGATGGACAAGAACCCCTGGGCCAAACCTGTACTTTCTGCTAGGGTCTGGCAGCAATGAGAGGGGTCTGATAACAGGCAGCTCAATTGCATATCCTGCACATCCTGGTCTGCTGTTAGCCAAGGATAGACCCTGGGCAGAGCTTTAGCATCCCTTGTGTAAAGTGAGGGTAGTCTTAGCTCAGCTGCTGAACTGCTGTGTGGGTGGTGCCAGGGAAGCTGGGAAGAGCGCTCCACACCATCTGGCACCTGATACAGGGTCAGTCATCACTAATAGGTGGGAGTCTGTAGCGAGCCAAGGCGGGAGGGACATATTCCTGTCTTGCGCACATGCATGGAAATTCCTTCCTTCTCCTCTAACCTCTTGTTTGCTCTCATGTCCAGGTTCCCAGAAATATCCCGCTGACAACGACCGACCTGGCAGCTTTGGCCCCCGAGGTACGTGGCCCTCTTAGGAGTTCCATCAGCATGGCTCTTTCCCCATGAACCTGAATGGACTCCATAGTTTTTCCCAGGGCATCTCTCTTGACACCCATGATTAATACTGAGTCCAAATTTATACTAAAGTGTGGAGTGCTAACAACCATATTCTTTCCTGATAGCCCAACTGACTGAGGAAAGAACCAGAGTGTCCCAGAAGCCACCCGAGTTTGGTGGTCACAGCCACTCCAGCTGGCAGAGGACAGGAGAGTCTTCCCAGGCCACT